TGATTTTATTGGGACTGTCTGGTCACCCTACATATCCTCCTCACCCAGACGCCCAAGAATGAGGGAGGGGAGGCTCCAGGCACCCAGCCACTGCACTCCAGGGGATGGCCCAAGCAACAGAAGGCTATCATTTATTTAAAAAAAAAAAATTGAATTTGTCGTGTGGCTACAATAAGCAATGTGTCCTTGTCCTTCCCTCCTCCCCACCCCACTCTACCCCACCTGGGAACCCTTATCAGTTATCTCCTCTTTCTTAATTAATAAAGAGAATGCATGGTTTCAAAACAATTGTGACTTTATTTCCTTTGCCACCTGTGATCGAAGGGGGGTGAGTGGTTGGCTTACAGGAAGTTAAAATCAACAAAGGGGGCAGGTTTGCATCAAGGAGAAATACACACAACTACCACACTGTAGCCTGGCCAGTCATGAAACTGGTTTTCAAAGCCTCTTTGATGTGCAGAGCACCTAGCTGCGCTCTTCTAATCACCCTGGTGTCTGGCTGTTCAAAATTGGCAGCCAGGCGATTTGCTTCTACCTCTCACCTGTCATAAGTCTTTCCCCTTACTCTCACAGATATTATGGAGCACACAGTAAGCAATAATAACAATGGGAATATTGGTTGCACTGAGGTCCAACCTACTCAGCAAACAGCACCAGCCAGCTTTTAAACGTCCAAAGGCCCATTCTACCACCATTCTGCACTTGCTCAGCCTATAGTTGAACTGGTCCTTACTACTGTCCAGGCTGCCTGTGTATGGCTTCGTGAGCCATAGGAGCAAGGGGTAGGCTGGGTCCCCAAGGATAACTATTGGCATTTCTCAGAGGGGTAGCCATGTTAGTCTGGATCTGTAAAAAGCAACAGTGTCCTGTGGCACCTTATAGACTAACAGATGTATTGGAGCATAAGCTTTCGTGAGTGAATACCCACTTCATCAGATGCATGCAGCTGCTCGAACAGCCTAGAGTTCCTAAAGACGCAAGAGTCATGCACCTTTCCCGGCCATCCCGCACTGATGTCAGTGAAACATCCCTTTTGATTCACTAGAGCTTGCAGCATCATTGAGACGTACTCCTTGCGGTTTATGTACTGGTTGGCAAGGTGGTCCGGTGCCAAAATAGGGATAAGCATTCCGGCTATTGCCCCACCACGGTTAGGGAAACCCACTGCAGCAAAGCCAGCCACTATGACCTGCACATTTCCCAGAGTCACTATCCTTGATAGCCAATGCAATTGCTGACCTTCTGCTACTTCAATCACAGCAGTCCCCACAGAAGATTTGCCCACTCCAAATTGATTCCTGACTGACCAGTAGCAGTCAGGCGTTGCAAGCTTCCACAGAGCTATTGCCACTCACTTCTCAAAAGTCAGGGCAGTTCTCATCTTGGTATTCCTGTGCTTCAGGCCAGATGAAAGCAACTCAGAGTTCTAGGAAAGTGGCCTTACACATGCCAAAGTTTTGCAGCCAGTGGGAATCATCCCATACCCGCAACACTATGTGGTCTCACCAGTCTGTGCTTGTTTGCTGGGCCCAGAATCAGTGTTCTACTGTATCAACCAGCCCCACTGCCGCCATGATATCCCTATTGCCACAGTCTGTGCTTTCAGGAACATCTCTGTCCATGCCCTCATCACAATCATCTTTGTGCTGGCGTCTCACATACTGCAGTATAATGCACAAGGTGTTTACAATGCTCGCAACAGCAGCAGTGAGCTGAGCATGCTCCATGCTATGGCATCTGCATGGGTAACCCAGGGGAAAAAGGTGCAAAATGATTTTGTGCAGTTGCTTTCACAGGGAGAGGGAGGGGAGAGTGACTACAGGTAACCCAAACCACCCATGACAATGTTTTTGCTCCATCAGGCATTGGGAGCTTAAAATCAATTTCTAAAAATTGACTTCTATAAAATCAACCTAATTTTGTAGTGTAGACCTATCCTTAGGGTGGCTGACCAGGCATGGCAATTAAGTATTCACCACTGGTATGACGTATTTAAGGGTTGGTCACCCACCTGGTCCATAGTTCTAAATATAGTTTTTCATTCCATCATTGTTCTATTAGTAATACAGACTGTTATGTTGGTTCTAATGCTCTGCATGTGCTTCTGGATAAAACAGATGTACAGTGGAACCTCGCTATAATGTGATCATTGGGGTCCAAAAAATTCAATTGCGGTAAATGCAGGGTTGCGTTATAGCGGGGTTCCACTGTACTTGTGTTCAATTTGCAGCAGTGTGTGCGCTCTGGGTAGCGGGAGGGAGGGAGCGGGGGGAAAGAGAGAAGGGGGTCGGCCAGCAGGACCAGCTTTAGGCCGATTCGCCCTGGCGGTGGTAGTCTTTGGGGGTCCTGCTCCCCTGGCCAGAGCACCGGTCAGAGCGTGGCAGCCCCGTGACGCCG